TAACTGTTTCTGTTGGAATAATAAATTTTGGATCTTTGTCAATTTTTGTTTTGGTTATGGAATTTTTTAATACTAAAGATATTAAGTTCACAATTTTTGCTGCTACCTAGAGATTTTATAATTTTTGTGGAAAATAATGGGCATTCCTATTGTAGTTCAAACCCAAGAGTGACCAATTAATATATTGTCTCAATGTTTGGTGAAAGACCTACATATGTGGTCATCAGCCTTTGATTTTTGGGTGAATTGGGTGTATTTTTGTTTGGAAAAATCTGAGCTTCTAATCAATGTATTCATTGGATTGCGGAGGTGAATAGTTAATATCATCTAGCTCTTGAATATGTTGAATATGAGGAACTCTTTGCTTCGGGTCTAGTAACTTTTGACAGGATAAGCTATCTGTAGGTTCGAGACATATATGACGGTGGTGATTTTCTTGTTCTGGTCACTACAGACAGGCAAAGTGCTTTTGACAGAGTTCTAGCTTCAATTCCATTCAAAGGACAGGTATTTACAACTTTGATTTTTAATTGATGAATAATGGGAGTTCGCAGGTGTAATATGAGGTCAGTTTCCCCGTTTCAGGTACTGAATGAGACGAGTTTATGGTGGTTTGACCAAACTCATCATATCACTCCAAATGCAGTAGTGTCAGTTCCTGATAAGAATGTCACAATAGCCAAAAAATGTACCATTTTTCCTGTTGAATTTGTTGGTAAGTTATATAGTTGTGAATCTTGTGATATTCAATTTTTCTTAAGTCTTGGTATAAACTGCAAATGCTCATGCCTTATTGTGTGGGTTCTCTGTGTTGTTTGATGCTTGTTGATAGTGAGAGGATTTGTTACTGGAAGCACCGATACATCATTGTGGACAGTCTACAAGAATGGTGTACGAAATTACTGCGGGAATGCTCTGCCAGATGGTTAGCTTGCCAACCCACTTAAGCACTTCATTATAAATTAGTTAATTTCTTTCTCTAGAAACTTATGCTATCATGTGGTAGGCCTGGTAAAAAACCAGCGGCTAGAGAGAAACATACTTACACCAACAACCAAAGCGGCTGATCATGATGTTCCTGTTACTCCAGACGAGGTAATGCATCATTCACCAAATTATATTGATTTTGTAGTTTACTTGGTCTTTTTTTGTTTTTTTTTTGTTGTTACCTGCTTGTACCTTGCTATTCTAATCCACAACGACCACAACAGTATTGCTTGGATACATGTAGGCCTTTCATTTATGCTCTATGGCTCTTTACCTTCTTTGTGACCTTAATTTCTTCCCCTTTTCCTTCTTCTTTCCTTTAATTTAGTGAGACATGAAATAACTATAAGCTATAACGGTACATTTTTTTCTCATTGAAGCTATTGTTGTTTGACGTTAATATACAATGAAATAGTATTTCTTGAATAGATTTCCTGTTTTGAATTCCAAACTTTTGGTTTTTATGGTAGTTTTGTTGCAAATTTATTGATTTTGCAGATAATAGAACGTGGGCTGATGACGAAAGCTGATTTTGATGAAGTTAGTGAGAAAGCTCTGAGTTTATTTGAGTATGGACAGGTCATTCTACATCTGACTTTTGTTGATGAATTGTCAATAGCTTTCTAGACACTTGCTAGTTTCACTTCACAACTTCAAAAAGTCTAGCTCATTCAGAACTTCAATGGCATGCCTATTGCTTTGGTTGTTTAGCTGGGTAGTGCAAATGATTTGATTTTTTAAATCATCATTTTTGAAATTCCAGCGTGTGGCATGGGAACATGGTTTGATTTTGGTGGATACTAAGTATGAATTTGGAAAGACAAGTGATGGAACAATTGTTTTAGTTGATGAGGTCAGTAATCAGTCATTAAAGCTTCCATCATTTGCCCCTTTGGTGTACTGATAATCAGATTGCTGACCCAATTTCTATTCATCTGCCTATTCTTTGTAGGTGCATACGCCTGATTCTAGCAGATACTGGATTGCAAAATCCTTCGAGGAACGTTTCCGTAATGGTCTTGAACCTGAAAATGTTGATAAGGTATCAACGTCTGAAATTTGCAGCTGTCATTGTTCTTTCGGGTGTATAAAGTGTTTATCCATCCATCATCCACTGTGTACTGCTGGCCTGATTTTCTGGAGTACATATTGAAAATTTAATATTAAGTATATTTTTTTGGTTTGTCAGGAGTTTTTGAGACTGTGGTTCAAAGATCATTGTAACCCATATGAAGATGAGGTGAGTCATTTGGGTGGGTCTATTTATGACTTATTTGTATGCTCACTTGTGTTAAAAATTTGATATCCCTTGCTGATACAAATGTGTCCTTTACTCTTTAGGTTCTTCCGGATGCTCCTAAAGAACTTGTTTGTGAGCTAGCTTCGCGGTATGTCTTATATCTCTTTTAGCATCATATCAAGATTATACACACTTCTTTTTTCCTCTTTGGGGGCCTTGGGAGAGGGGTGTGTGTGTGCGTGTGTGTTGGGTGGGATCTTTATTCTTTTTTTCATTATGAATCTTTTAAGGCTTTCTTTGTGTGATGATTGGTGTGAACAAATGATGTAGCTTAACTGCTTAAGCCAGCTTAAGGCCTTGCTAAGCTTAAGATAATATTTTTTGCATTTAAGCAGTCCTTTGGCTGGATGTAGGGAGTTTCCGTGATAGGCTGCCCTAGAGAGGGGCACTAATCTATATAAAAGGGGGTCTTTTTCCTAACCTTTTAAAGCACCACATAGGAAATCAAATTTTAGCAAATGAAAAAAAAAAAAAAAAGAATTGCAATTTCTTTTCAAGTTAAAGAATTCAAGTGCTACATTAGCGAAATTAACGAATGATATTTGAGAGTTTAAATTAATTAAAAATTACTGTAAGATATTATCACATGATATTAGGAATTGTATCTGAATATCTAATGAAAGAAAAAAAAAAATTTACAATTTATTTTAGAACAAAATTTCAAGTAAAACGAATAAAATCATAAAATTTATCATATAATTTACATAAAATGTTGGGAAATTCTCTTTGGTAACATCGAACTTTTTATTTCTCTCTTTGGTTAATTGTAAAAAACTCTATTATCTTTGGTAACATTGTATTTTTTATTACCAAAAGATAACTATTTTAAATAAAATCATTAACCATGATTTTTCCTTTTTTTAAATAATTAAATTATTTTAGAAATAATATAAAAAAAACCAGCCACCCCCTCCGACTGCCCCCCTCCTCACACGGCGCTGCCCGGCCATCTCCCCTCCGGCAACCTGTCCCCCACCCTGAATCGACCCCGCCTACCCCTATTATGGCTTTCCTGTTGGTTTCTAAGGATGCCTTAGCCTGATATTGTCCATAGACTGAACCTTTAATATAATGAGTTTCCACTAAAATGAAAGACTGATTTCATTTTAAGAGCAGTAGGCTCTTGGTACATTTCCTTAGCCTTTGCTGGTTGTTCCAGCCCTTGAAATTCTCAGCTCTCTATTTCAGTTATTAAAAGTAATTATAAGGATTTATTAGAGTTGAGGCACAGAGTTGGTATATATATATATGTATTGTTTCAAAGATGAGCACTGGTTTGGTTCTTGACTGTAGTTCCAACTGTGCTCTTTAGTTTATCAACATTAAATCACTTATGTTTTTTCATTTTACTGCAGATATATATATTTATATGAGACAATAACAGGCTCCAAATTTGATATTCCAAAAACAGAGGTAAATCAGTGTTGTATCCTTGTGTAGTCTCTTGCACCACTTAGGATTTGACAAAAATTGACATCTCTTACCTATGTGCAGATACCAATTCATGACAGAATCTCTCAAAATGTCTCATCGGCAATGGCATCTCTCAAGTGAAGATTCTCATTTGGAATGCCGACATCAATGCTTTGTGACTGAAAGTTACATCAGGGACGTTGAGTATCTTAGAGGCTTGAAGTCATTACCCTTACCTTTTCTCACCTTCTGCTGGATAAGATAGAAGGTTTCCCGAAATAACAGTTGCTGGTTGCCACACAAGGGGGATTTCAATTTTAATGCCTGCATCTCCAAAATTTTGTATTACTGTATTTCTGCTACTAATTAGTGGTCGAGCCAGATATTCTCCATTGGAGGCAATAGAATACCTAATTGTAATATTGACAACTGCAGGCAGAGTGAGCCATATAGGAATAAGTTAGTTGCAAAGGCTCCAAATTGTATGTTAATTGACAGATCATATTGAACTGATGCTTACAGAAGCTAGTTGTGGTACTTCACTAGTATTTATTATTTGTTTTCAGTTCATCTGCCATTGTAGAGACAATAGATTTCTGTAACTTTCAATATAAATAGAAAGCTTTTGATTTCTGCTGATGCTGAGCAATGACAATTGTTAGACAACTAGTGTCTGATATAGCTTGGACAGAAACAAGAACTTCATTACATTCTACGTCATATTTGTCAAGAATGGAGACCATGGGGTAGACGTAGACCTTTGGAATAGGTGATCACCAACCCCACAGCTCTACTGTGGTATTTAATTTTTCATACTTTCCTTTGAGTCAGTTGTTGGTGGTTCTGATTTGACTCGCGCTCTAGATGAGTGCTTGGTTTTGTGCCTTTGTACATTGATGGGTTGATTGAAGCCACTAGTCCAAGTGTCTCTTGGTTCTTTATTCTTTTCCATTGGAGATGTGTGAACTAGTGAATGTTGGCTCAATATACCATTCTAATTGTAATGATTAGTTTACACATTTGCTAATCAATTTATTGGCATGTACTCCATACTAATTCGTACAAAGGTAGAAAATCATGAATTATGATGTTGATTATTAATTACTCTGTATAAATTATGTTCAAATTTGTGGCCGGTTTTATTGAGCTGCATAGTAGGTTAGTAAAATTGAATTATCATTTGCACCATTGCACTTGACCACCTACTAGGGACAAATCGAGCTATGACAAATCAATTTTCGAAATTAGTGAGTAGAAAGATTAGAAACCAATCGTGTTTACGTATACTATCAAAAATTAATTTCTTTGATAGGAGTTTCACCTTAACCTAAAAGGACATTCTTTTGCGATACGCCGATACATGTGTGGGACTGTGGATTGGGTGCAGGAGACGTTTTGTAAGGGACCAGTTCGGCTCGACTCAGGCATTCAGCCAGCTTCTTCCATTTTTAGTCTTTACTACAGTCTACAGGCTAAACCCTTTAAACCCTAACCCCCAAAATAAAAAAATACGAAGTAAGTAATAAAATTAAAGACAGGGAAAGAATTAATGAACTCTACTCGAATTTCATTCATTTCTTCATCTCCAAGCTTCTACCATTGCTAAGCAGCTTTAACTTAGTTATGCGCCCAGAATTCGTCGTCTCTTTGACTACCTCAATTCACCATTTTCCACTTTTCAATCTCCTTTCTCCCTTATTCCAAATGTTCAGTACTCTCTAGAACTTACTAGATAAACTACTTTTTTGAATAATAATTTTTCTTGAATTTCTGGTAGTTCAGTTCAATTATTCATCTTCAAAAATGAGGAAAATCAAGCTAATTGGGTTTGCCTCTAAATCTCTAACCCGCATTTTCAATGTAAGTGATCAATTCAACTTTTGTTATTATTATATACTCTATTTCGTAGTTTTTATTATTTTTTGGATGATTAAATTTGATGCTCATTTTCTGCTATTTGATTATGTGCAGTCGCGTGGATTCAATTGCAATTCATTTGAAGGAAGTCAACAAGCATTATTAGCTCACAGAAGAAGTGTATTATCATTCCTTTATCTCTTAATTTCTGTTTTAAATTTCAGCTGTAATTGGTCACAAAGTTTTCTTTTTTATTATCTATATAATTATTATACGATTGACTGATGATTTTCTGTAATACTGCTTGATTTTAGGATTTTGCAGTAATAGATATATAACTGGGATTAATGGGAACCCATTCAAAGAAACTGTATATACAGTTCCATTGACAAAGCGCTATTTTCATGCCACAGGTTCTGAAAAATTAATTTAAGTTTGTGGCATTATTGGGTTTTTTCTTGTATGATGTGATTTAGGGATTGATTGTTGGGTTGATTATGTTTACTCTAGGGTCTTTGCGGTTGAATGAACGGAACTACTATGATATATTGGGGGTTCCGAAAGATGCTGGTCGTGATGATATTAGAAAAGCTTTCCATGAGGTGAGTATTGCTGTGTTGATTGTTGATTATATGTTAGGGATTGGTTCTATTTGACCATATATGATTGTTTGGGAATTGTGTGAGCAATGTTTGTGCCTTTAATTTTACCGGATCAATTTGTGGAGTTTGAGATTTTGATGATGTTTAGAATGACCAGTGATGTTTTGATCGTATTGAAGAGTTTTGCTGCATTGTAATTATTTAACAGACTGAAAAAAAAAAAATAAATAAATAAAATTCTGGCCTTCTAGGAAATGCTCTCTCAAAAAACGAAATGGTGGCGCTAGGCCGCTAGCAACAAGAATAAACACAATATTTAAAAGAGTTTTAATTGGTTTAGCATGCTTACAGTCTATCTAATACGTGTTTCTTTGTAGATATAAAGCATATATAATGAGATTGTTTGCTTAGATACTTGGATGTGCTTAGTCTTGACATTTAGCGGTAAGCTGGAATCTAATAAGTTGAGAATCAGAACTATAGTTATTTTAGCACATGGAGACTAGAATATGTCTCTCTCTGGACCTGCCATCTTGACTCGAAAATGTTTGAAGTCAATGATTTTGAACTTTTTTGAATCTGTGAGAATGTGAGAGTAGAGTGTCTATACTTAGTTTTAGAATAAGACAAAGTTCTGTATCTATGGAGCTTTGACTATCAAGGCACCTATATTGGTATGCATGGTTCTTTTCTCTAAATAACAACATGGTCAATTGGTCACCTGTGCTGTTAAACACAATCTTCCCGAGAATGGTTACCATATTACATGGGTGTTTTGATTATTCAGGCTTGACAGTGTCATTCTACTACATAGTCTCTTCTGTACTGCTCTTAGGTACAATTAATCTTGGCCATCAGTGTGAGTTTAGGATGATTTTGGTAGGGTTTTATTGTGTGCTTAGATTTGCCAATGAATTACATCATTTATTTAGATATAAAAATTGTGGAAGTGAGAATAGTGGTTGAAATTGTTCTCTCTTGTCCCAGTGACTTTAACTTTGTGAAACCATTTTCATTCTAGTTTGTCTTATAAGATCCATTTATTCTTGCTTAGTGGTATATTGATATGTTTTGTTCATAGATTGTGGTTGTTTGGATTTCAAATCATAATCTAAGTCATGTTTTCCTAAGTCTTTCTTATTGAATTGAATAAACTATAATCCGTTTCATCAAAATTAAAATGAAAATTCAATTACTAGATATAATTGTGAGAATTATTGGAAGATTTTTTCTGTTTTGGATCAATTGCAAGAAATACTTTACGAATTCATACATATAAATATCAATATCCGTAATGATTTCCACTTTACATGATTGGATATATATAAATACTAAGGTTCCACTTGATTTATCTAATTTTCCTCTTATTAAGATCCCTTTCCTGAGTTTAGCTATTTATATGTTTAATTATAAATTTAATTATATTTTAATGTCTAAATTTTGCTTTACAAAATCTGCAGTTGGTGAAGAAGTACCATCCAGATACAAATAAGAACAATCCTTCTGCAAAAAGAAAATTTCAAGAGATAAGAGATGCTTATGAGGTCACTATCTTCATTTTTAGTTTACCTGTTATGAAGTGCATCTTTATTGGATTCTGTAAACTAATGGTCTTTCTTCTTCACCATGGTGGCATGCTTGTAGACTTTGAGAGACTCTGAGAAAAGAGCACAGTATGATATGGTAATTACCAAGTACATTATATAGCATTTTCACTTAGTCTGTGTCCGTAAAATTGTGATCTAAAGCTTTTGGTCATTGTTATATATGTAGTATCGATTATTTTGGCAGTCTGTATGTAAAATCTTTGCAGACATCATAGTGATTATTATTGAAACCCTGTGTAATTTTTATGACCAACATTGTCTATTTTTTTTCCCTCTCAAGAGCCTAAACTTAGGTTCGGGTTATGCAAGGCAAAATTCTGGAGGCAGGGGTCCGGAGAATGTACATTATGATTTTGCTGATGCCGAGGCGTTTAGACATGCTTATAAAACCCACTTCTCAGATTCATTCCATAAAATATTTTCTGAGGTATAGTTAGTGGTCTTAATTCTATTTCATAAATCTTCTTTAGGTATATCTATGTATATGCTTGGATGGGTTCTTGAGTATGGGCGTGTGGTGCGTTTGGAATGATTGGAATCTATTATTTCTTCAATTACTCAATCCTTGTTCAAGGATTATAGATTATTGATTGAGTCATTGAGTAATGTGTCATTTTGCAGATATTTCAAGATGAAGTGGAAAATTTTGCGGATGATATTCAGGTTCAAATGTCAAGAATACTATTTCTCATTGTCTCTTATAATTTACAACAAGATTGCTGAACTTGTTTGGAACTGTTCAGGTTGAGCTCTCACTTTCATTTTCTGAGGCAGCAAAAGGTTGCACAAAGCAGCTGTCTTTTGATGCATATATTCCCTGTGAATCCTGCCGTGAGTTAAATAACCTCTACTGTTCTTCTGATACTGAATGCACCTTTTTTTATTTTATTTATTTTTATTTATTTTTTTTATTTTTTTGTATAACCAAATTTCACACAGAAAAGCCCTTCTTGGCTGAGATAAGACTTATCTACAGCCAATAACCTGAGGTCATGTGTTTGGAGAATTTAGAAGGGAATTTTTTTCTTTTTGAGATTTGGCATCATTTTCTTTTGCTTTAACCAGAGGTCTGGAAGCAGTTGTTGACGTGTGTCTTGGGGTTTTATCATTCTCTCCTTATGATCTGATATAAGGAAAGCTGGGACGGGATCTTGGTATGACTTTGATATTGAAATTGATAGTTGGGAGTCTTGGCACTATAGGCTCTAGTTTGTGCCTTCATTTTAAAGAAGAATTTTGCAACTTCCTATAACCTGATTTTGTCAATTTAACTGTTCTGTACACTAACCTTCTAAATGCAAAATTTTCTTTTAGAACGTATCAAAGTTGATTTTGTCATGACTTGGCTTGTTATTTACTACCTTAGATGGACGTGGCCATCCTATTGATGCAAAGGCTAGAATTTGTCCTACTTGTGGCGGGATTGGGAGGGTAAGTTTATCTGGACCCATGACCCTCTCTCTTTCTTCTCATGTTGATACTGTACCGCATTTGGCCTAGTGTTTACAATATGTGCTGATTAATTAATTTATGAGCAGGTAACTATTCCTCCATTTTCATCAACCTGCAGCTCTTGTAAGGGGTCAGGAAGAGTAATTACAGTAAGTAATGTAATTCTTTTTATGTTACACAGTGAAAGAAGTATATGCTCTTTGTATTTGAGTACTTCAGGGTATACATTTATTTTCCAGGAAAAATGTGAGAATTGCTACGGACATGGGGTGCTTGAAGGTGTTAAGGAAGTTAACGTTACAATACCAGCTGGTTAGTAGTGAATACTGCTTGTGTACTTTCTTTCCTGATCAATCTTTACAAATAGAATGGAGAGACTCCTTACCAGTATACATGTAATAGAATTCTGGTTCTTAGTCCTTTGTTTAATAAAGTATTAGCTCTACATCTAGAATTGAGCTTCTCAAAATGAAAAAATGAAGCACAAAATTTGTCTAGCACACACACACACACGTGCGAATCCTAGGAGTAGGCAAATCTACTATTCTCAGTTAAGAGTTAGGAAGCTATGATGAGTGCTCTAGAAATTGTGATTATCGAATTGGAAATGCATTTCTATTCTCAGTTAAGACTTAAGAGTTAGGAAGCTATGACGAGTGCTCTAGAAATCGTGACTATCGAATTTGTAATGCATTCTTGGAAGAGTGTATTTATCAATTCTTTTTAACAATAGTGTATGAATGTACCGCCATGTAAATATAGTCCCACTAACAAATGAGCTTGACTTGTGTATTTCCTTCCATGTCTTCCAAATTGTCACGAGTTTTTGTAACAAAAAAATATTGATTTTGTTGAAACTTTTGGTCTACATATATGAATCCTATACTCCGTACTATTATGATATTTTCCTTTTTTTTTTGGGGGGACTGGGGGGGGGTGGGGGGTTTGGAGTTGTGGGTGGGTAAGGAGAAGGGTCTAGTAATTGGGATTAAATCTAGGCTAATTTGTTTTTTTTAATTGCTATTTATTGCCAATGTTCTGGTTCTAGCCATTATCCCTAAAACTACTGGTTTTCTTTATGCCTTGGTTTGTTTAATTGCATAGGTGTGGATTCTGGTGACACTATCAACATCCCTAAAGGTGGTAACTCCGGGGGACTAGGAGCAACATCTGGAAATTTGTACATAAGATTAAAGGTATTTTTAGTATTTACTATCCAGCTATCTGAGTTTTGTGAAAGTGCAGGTGTACAGCATTTACTGTGTGCAAACTAATAATTCCTCTGTTCTTTTTTAAATGACATGTTTTGACTTTTGACACTATTTACCTGTTCTGCTTTGATTAGCTTTTGTTATGTACAACTATAATAAAATTTAGTCATGTGGGATCTTGTTAGAATCATTTTTGTAATGTCACCTTTTTAGAATTTATACTCATAGATAAGTGGAGATATTAATCGTTGAAATTGTGCACTGGAAAACGTGGTAAAAAAATGTGTCAACTAAAAAAGAACAGAGGAAGTATATGATACTCTTTCCTTCTCTAGTAGTACGCCATATTTGATTGGGGCTCATTTTAGAAAATTGAGTTATATCACCAAAAATATTCTTCACTATGTATCATTATGGTCTTATGGGTAGGTTTAGGAAGTGGCCTATGAATTTGGGATGGTTGAAATTAGAACCATGACCTATTCTTTAGGAATAGTTTCTGAATTGAGTTCCTACTCCATAATTGTTATGACTTGACTCCCACCCCTCCTCTGATGTTACTTGTTAGTTATGTTGCTTATCCTGAGTTTCTTGTTTTGCTGCAACTGTGCTATATTTTTAGGGTGACTTGACATGTGATCCTCTATTTGCTTCCTTACTGCCTTTTTCTAACATCCCCATTTCTCTCTTCATATGTAGGTTGAAGATGACCCTGATTTTAGTAGAAATGGTTCAGATCTTCATGTGGATGCTAATATAAGCTTTATACAGGTAATTGTTTAATTACTTCCCATGGTTATTGGTTGTCTTCTTTTTTTCTTTTCTTTTAAAATGATGCTTTTACATGCTTCTGTTACAGTTCCTTTGGTATATTGTTGTTTCTAAAGTTGAGTTTTTAATGTAACCTTGATGTGTTCAGCATATACTGCTGTGACATTTCTGTTTTTCCAAAATTCATCACATTTACAGGTCCATTGGCTACAAGGGTAAAAAATTGAGGAAACATCAATAAAGTTTGTGTAATATCATCCGAAATGTCTCGTGTGCATGTCCTAAGTAAAAAATATCCACTTGAAAAATTGAAATATATATATTTGTCTTCATTAATTCCCATCACCACTCGTATGGGGGATAGCAGTAAGTAGTGAAGGAAAATACACGTTTGCAAGTGGAGAACTGGAGATGCATTACTTCAGACATTATTTTTTAATAGGATCTTTTTGTATTTTAAATTGAATAAAATCTTCTCTCCTTTTTTCTTCTCAAAATGAAAAGTTGTCCACAAACAAAACACTTTCAATAAGTTTCTTTTGTAAGACCTAGCTATCGGGTTCATCCATATAGTTAGTAATTTGACTGAAAAGAAATTGACTATAATCTTTGATTAAAATAAATAAATAAATAGCTTTAATTTTACCTAATTTCTAAGACTAGTAATTAATGTAGTATTCTCTGTCATAGCATGTGGCATATTCCATAGTGATTTTCCACAACATTTAATGCCAGTCTCTCTAGTGTTCATCACTTTCTATACTTGTAATTAATATCAAGCAAGCTGTATGTGTGTTTTAAATGTTTCAAATTGAGCTGCATTTTTTATTTCTTGAACTGACTGTTTACTGGTAGTAATTTGGACTATATAAACCCTTTGGAAAGTTCTTCTGGAGCCTGTCAAAAGACTCCAAACAAGGGATTTTCTCTGACTGTTTGACTCCTGCAGGCTATGCTTGGTGGTAAAGTTGAGGTGCCAACTCTAGCAGGAAAAATTTCATTGGATGTGAGACATTCTCTTCCATTGCAACTCATTTAACTATTTTTGTTTATCTTTCTAACCTCTCCCCACCTTCTGTCCCCATCCTTTTTGCCTTTGTCTGCGTGTATGTGAGTTTATTAGCTGCTTCCTTGCTAATCATTGTTTGCATCATGAGTTAAAACACTATTTTTGTCATTCATTGAAACACTATTCAACATTGCTACTTCAAATTACAAGTACTATATTACTATGTTGTGGTGATTGGTAATTAGAAAGCTTTACTCTGTCTTCACAACTTGCATAATAAAAGTTTGGCATGTTGCTTAGTGATTGTGTAATATGTCCTCATAAGGGTGGAAATGGATGGATTCGACTTGGATCTTATGGAGTCCGAATATTATTTGATTAATCAATTGGAAGATGGACCTCCCTCCTAATCTGAATCAGAATAGAATATAATCTTGTCGTTTGAATGTGATTTGAATTGAAGTTTACTAATTCTGATCCAACTGAATAACTAAACCTAAGGTTGTTGACTGTTACAAATACTTATTGTTGAGTATGAGAGCACTGGCCTGGAAATAGGATTAATTGGAACTTGGAAGTAACGGGTTGACAGGTTGACTTTGTAGTCTTCTGTCATTCCATTATCATCCTTTTGGGAAATGAGCTCTCTGGAAGTTAGGGTGGAGTATTAAAGAATTGGAGAGAGGAGGTAGAAAATGGATAGAGAAATCCATAAGGAGCTAAGTCTTATATGACTTATTTATGTAACTGGGAGAAAAAAGTAGGTCTCTCATGTAGCAAATTGGACATCCTCTCTAGATTTTGGCTTTTTTGTTTAGAATTTGGATCAGACCTTTTTTTTTTTTTTTTTTTTTGTTGGGTTCTCATTGAACTGTTGCCTGTTGATCAGGTCAGATTTGATCGAATACTATGGTTTTCCTTAGTTCTCTTTTGAACCACCTAAGCTGCTTAAAGACCATATTGCAACTTATCTCTACATGTGTGAACATGAACAAAAAAAAAAAAAGACTAATCATCTGCCTTTCCCTTCTCTCTGGTTGGTTACTGCTTGCTGGGTAACTTAGTTCTGTTTATCGCTTTCTTATTGGCAATAAATTGTAATGCTTAATGTAATATCAGATTATCAATTTATACGTGTAGCTATCTTTCAAGTGTCATTGTCCAGTTTCTGTTTCTTTCAGATACCCAAGGGAGTTCAGCCAGGACAGGTTCTGGTGCTACGAGGGAAAGGTGAGTATATATTGTATACTATCTAGTTGCATAGCCATTTAGTTTTCCTTTCCTACTAACTTGATTTCAGAGGAAACATATTTTGTAGTTACATTAATATACTCTATGTGGCAGGACTGCCAAAGCATGGTTTATTTGTCAATCGTGGTGATCAACATGTTCGCTTCTGCATAAACTTCCCTAAGTAAGATTTCACATTCCTTACTCAAATTCTCTCATTCTCTCTCTCTCGTTGTTTTTATTCTGAATTTTCCAGATAATTTTGGCCCCTTGTGTTCAGTTGATAAGTTACTGGAACTTTAACCCTCACAACTAATCCATTGTCGAGGATATCCCAAATATATTGAAGCCATTAACCCACACAACTAACCTGTTCCCGGAGAATCATAGGCCTAGCCTGTTGCTGGCAGCAAGATCCACCAGAAAAATTGCCTTCATCCAGTACCAAACCCCAGTGGCTTCCTTGGTAGATCAGTGAAGTGGCACTTGAGCTGTTAGCTTGGTGGCTATATCTTGTGTAGTGTCGACCACTACAACTTGTCGATAATTTATACTTCCTCCGTTTCTATTTAGTTGACTTGTTCAATCTAGGCACACATATTAAGGAGAGGAGAGAGAATGAGATAGAATAATAAAGCAAGTGGGGTACACTAGTAAATGTAAAGTGTAAAATTTACCCAAAAAGCAAACATGTCAACTAAAAATAAACTTCCTAAAAAGGAATACGTGTCAACTAAAAAAAAACGGAGGTAAGTATTACTTTACATTGTTTTCTAATAAAAAAGGCCCTGGTTGGCCTGCCGATCTCCGGCTTTTTAGAAACCACACATAAAAAAAAGAAGTAATAATTAAATAATAAAAAAAAAAGTCTATCCTGACCCTTTCCGCAAGATAACCTAGCCCCCTCTGATCCCTGCCTAGTTACCCTGTGGGAACCTAGTATTTCCTGGTTACTCATTGAGTCACTGTACTAATAATAGGCCTTTTCATTTTTCAAAAAAAAAAAAATAATAATAATATAGCCTTTTCTGTGGCTATGCAAAAGCCTCTCAGTTCTTTTAAGGCCACCTATATTATGGATTTTGTGTGTAATTGAATCACAACTTAAGGGTAAAATTTTCTGCTGATGTTAATCAGTAGGGGTGATAGTTGACCAAGTCAGTCACAAGTTGAGCTGAGTTTGAATTTACTCGAAATGAGTTCCCATCAACTTGAAACTCGTCAACTTAAACTTGATTCGAGCTGAAGTTGAACTCGATTACTTTTCACCTATGCTTGAAATAAATTTTACATTTTACAATGTAACAAAAATTGCAGAAATAATAAATTGTTCATGGTTTTTGGTATATATATAAATCCCCATACTTCCAAGGCTGCATTGAGGAGCTAAAGAATAGGCTCTGAAATCTCCGTTTCTTAAATCTAAAGGTCCCTCTCTCTCCTCTCTTCTTAAAAAGGGATGGAGATGCAATACCTACCTTTATTGCCTATTAAGCTAAGTTCATTGTATATCATAATGCCTAAGTTTTCTTGTGATTAATTCATTGCGAGCAAAATTGTAGTAACCTTATCATGCCTTTTATTTTATGTTATTTGGCATGGAATTTTTTTTAATCGCTTGCTATGTTGAAATTTATTTGCTTTTGACCTTTGCTCTTCCAATTGTGGAATGTGCGTGTTCACTGTTAACAGTGATCTTAGTAGCTTGTATTTTTATCTTTATTCTTATAGGAAGGTAAATGAACGCCAAAGAGCTATACTGGAGGAGTTTGAGGAGGAGGAAATTACTCGTGAAGAACGTTCTTCTGAAGAAAGTTGGTGAGCCATACAAAAACATTTTTGCTCTCTGACATCACTTTGAGGCTTGAGCTGTTAATCATTGATGCTGTTATGGTAATTTGGTGCAGATCATATTTCATATATACAACCATAGCAAATATGTAGTTGTATCTTGCATGAGAGGCTACTATTAGGCTGCCCTTCCTTATAGCAATAGTTTATTTTGTTGCTTTACCATGTCCATCAATCTTAAATTGCCTGCGCTTCTTAACTAATGTTAACTAACAGACATTTGCTTCATATCAATTGGAAAAAAAGCCTCTTAAAAGAGTAAGGTCCCTTTACCCCTTAGGATGGGGTAGTTTTATTGTTGATGTGGCTTTTGTGTTGTGTGCATCCTTAATAAAGGAAGTAATATCTTTGAAGCAAACTATCAAGGTCCATGTACTCAAAATTTAAAAGTCCTACATTTCATGATAAGCGTTGTCCAGCAACTTCATGCTGAATATCTTTAGACATACAACACCAAGCTTGTTACAAGTTAGGGACTGCTCTATTTCAGCAGTCATCGTGATGGTATATTTGGGATTTTGTAGACACAATGACAACTGTGGTTGCTTCTTGCTATAGTAAATGTATGTAACACCAGCTGCTATCAAACTGCACTTTATTTATAAAAAAATATTCTGAGGACCTTGTGGAGTTTAGCTGCTTTTAACATGTTTGTCTTCCCTTTCTGAAAATCATTTTCTTTGTTAGCTTCCCTTTCGCTCTTTAGGCAACTCTTGATAAAAATACGACCTCAATGTTTCCATCTAGTTCATTAAGTGATGTGTTGGGCAGAATCATACAATACCTCTCCTAGGCTAATTTACTTAATGCCCTTCTAATATATAATATAAATGTTGGATATGGATAACAGGCTTCATCAGCAGCTATCTACTGGTTGACTTTCAGGTGGAAGCAAATTCTTGATTATGGAAATAGGCCGAAATTAATGCTTGAGTTGTCGGTGCTCCTGCTGATTCTTTTACTCATGAAGAATATCATTCTTTGAGGTTATGTTGGACAATCCTCCCTGCTGATTGTTACCTCGTTGTCTTCATTATTTCAAACTGCGGGAATGTCGATTGGAGGTATTTCTACTTCTCTTTTGCTGAGTTTGCATTACTCTTCTGGTCTGACTCTGAAGTTCATGCTGCTGCAATCGGGGCTACAAAATACTTGTGTATAGAAATTTTGACATTCTTTATAGAATAAAAAAAAACTTACAATACTAATAGTTGCTCTGCACTAAGTCACTGCCCCTTATTGTTCAAAAAAAAAGAAGAAAAAGTCACTGCCCCTATTGTGTTTGTTGGAGCCCCAGTAAACTGCCCATTTTTTTACATACAGGAAGTTCTCTGTTATACTGTCCGTAATCAGTGTTATAGCAACTGATCAACGTGTAGTTGTGTATGCTTGACGATACTCCTGATTAATAGAAACCCTGTTCGTTTCTAATTGTTGTAGTTATATTGTGCGACACGTATCAGCATTTTGTAACATTAGTCTCTGTCTCTCTGAATTGGTGATCATATAGTTTGGACTGGTTGTTTGCATTAATGCTCTGTTTGTTCAGTAAATTTAGTTAAGCCAACTTGTCAAAAAGAATACTAATTACGAAGTACATAGTATTACCAACTTGTCAAAAAATTTTGACTGTCCTTTAAGATAATAAATTTAGTAGTATATCCAACTTGTCAAAAAAGACAGCACTATGTATTTAGGATGATACTTGTAAAGTTGTAAGTGATACGGAGTATTCTTATGACTCAGAAACCTTTCCTAGATGAGTTTTTGTTATCCTATTTTTTGAGTTACTTGTGATTTTTTTTTTCAATAAAAAAAAAGTATTCAAGGAAATAATTTTTCAAGATTACTAATATATTTCTTAAAATTTATTTATTTAATATATATTCATTTCTACTTCATTTACTATGGCACACTCTCATCCTTTGTCTATTTCGCATTTAAGGTTTGAGGTATGATCAGAGTCTTTTTTTTTCCTTACCATAAAAAAAATAACTTTATAATAAAGGTAAAATTGGCTAGAATAACACAAATTATTGATTGGTTCCGCTCAATAGCATGAACTTTAAGTGGAGCAATAAACAGTACGAACTTTGAGGGTTGGGTGCAGTAAACGACTTAAATGTTTCCGGTGTCGGATATTTCACGGATTTCGGCAATTTTTTTTTTACTTTTTATATACTCCTTCCATTTCATTATAATCGCAACACTTTAACTGTCACATATGCAGACATGTCAATGTTCAACTTTGACCATTAATACTTGTAATTATATATAATTAAGAATTATAAAAGATTAATATAATGAATATATACATAAAGACAAATCCAAATAATTTTTACATGACAACATATGTTTTTTTATATATTGGTAAAAATTATAGTCAAAGCATATGAATAATACAAAATTTAAACTGTTGCGATTATTGTGAAGTGAAAAGAGTATAAATTTTAAATAAAAAAGATAAATAAAAATAAACAATAAAAAACCTCGCGTTGGTTCTGTGGGTAACTCGGATTCTTGTTGCGTTCTCCTTTTACCTACTTTTATAATCTACGTGCGTCCCTTATGTAGCAATTTATCTAGAACAGATGAAGTGCTTATTTTTAGGTCCTACATTTTAGATTTGATATTTTTTTTTAAAGAGAATTATAAATGTGATATATAATCAATATGATATGATTGAGAGAACAACCCTTCCTGATTGGTTGGCATTGTTTGGAAATTTTTAACCCACCATGTTTTTATCTGCTAGACTACTACGGAGTACTCCGTATTTATTAATTTTTTGAGGGATTGGGCATCAAAGTGATGAAACCTCATAAATAGTTAAGTTGCAACACTAACTTTTTCATGTTTCATCCTTACGCCACTCAACTTAACATAAACATGAATGCAGATAAACTACAAGATGATAATACTTCCACTTGTGAAGGCCTTTCTTTCATGACCAAATTACAATACGCCGCCCACTCTTTCATCACCAAACTCGCCTACCACTCCGACGGCACCGTCAACCGCTTCCTTGTAAACCTCGCCGATATCCGCTCACCACCTTCTTCCACCCCTGTCAATGGTGTCACCTCCTATGATCATACCTTTGACTCTTCCCGTAATCTTTGGTTTCGAATTTTTATTCCCGCCAACGCTCCCTCCACTCTTTCTCTTCCGGTTATCGTCTACTTCCATGGCGGAGGCTTTGTCTCCTTCTCTCCCGCCACCATGCCTTACAACACTTTTTGCCGGAAGATTTCCGGAGATGTTTCCGCTGTCGTCATCTCCGTAGGCTACCGCCTTGCGCCGGAGCATCGGTGGCCGGCGCAGTATGAAGACAGTTTCAACGTCTTGAAGCTCCTCGACGACAAAGAGATGAGGGAGAAAATCAGAGTTTTTCCGGCGAATGCTGACGTCAGCCGGTGTTTCCTCGCCGGAGATAGTGCCGGCGGGAATATAATTCACCACGTGGCGATACGAGCTTGCGGGACCCACTTCCAGTCGGTTAGGGTTCGCGGGCTTATTTCAATTCAACCGTTTTTTGGCGGGGAAAAAAGGACTCGATCCGAACTTCGGGTGAAGAACCCCCCGGCGTTGACTTTAGCCCAAACCGATTTCTTTTGGAAGGCATTCTTACCTACCGGGTCGGACCGAGACCACCCAGCAGCGAATATAATCGGGCTAAGGTCCGAGGATATCTCGGGTTTAGAGTCATTCCCGCCAACACTCGCGGTTGTTGGCGGGTTAGATATATTGCAAGATTGGGGGAGGAAGTATTGTGATGTGTTGAGAAAGTCCGGGAAAGAAGTGGAATTAATTGAGTATCCAAAAGTTGGTCATTTCTTTTATAGTGCTCCAGAATTGCCTGAATATGAAATGTTTGTTGCTAAAATTGTTGAATTTGTTCAAAGATTGAAAACCTGATATGTGAATAATATGTGTGATAATTGATATTGCTATGTATATTACACTTTCCGATGCTTGTATTATTTTATGAAAGCAAGATAATGTTAGTCTGTATAATAATTTATTTATTTTTGAATAAATCTGTATAATAATATAGGAGCATCTTTTGTGTCAAATGATGGTTGTTGCTTACTATATTACTATGTATTGAAAGATATTACTATGTAATGTATATTACTATAATATGTTTGCTCAGAGTTGGTATTGTCTCATCATCAAAGTTGTCATATTTATCGAGAAGTCAATCAATTGGCTATTAAAATTTTAAAAATACTGTCATTATTGTTTTCAAGTGAGTGGCAAACTTTTCAAACGAGTTTAAAATTTTAAAAATACTGTCATTTTTTTTACAAAGATTTTGGGGGGTTTGGTTCGCAGAGTGGTATGAGTTTGGAATCGGGAATGGGGTTAAGGTATTATCGGATTGGAACTTGATACTTAATAACATGTGTTTAGTTCAATTTTGGAATGGAATATCTCACTATTCCTTTTATTTGATACCTAAGGAAATGGAATTGGCCAAACCCACATTCCCCCGAGGTTTCTAAACCCCATATCTCATGGGTTTGAGGTATGGATTTATAATTCATACTTTGACAACCAAACATATAGTATAGGTTTTAATCATTCGAAACTCATAGCTCATACCTAATTCTGCGAACCCAACGCCCCCAATGTTATCAATTTAATGGACTATTATACCAAATGAGTATCTGACTTGCTATAAGTCTGATCTTTGTCTCGATTATTACTCCGACTTGACAAGATTGCTAGAAGCTACTCGTGGTCGTGGCTAGCAGTTATGTGGACTAGCCGACTAGCTAATGTCGGCAGTCGGGTATACGTGTGATGAATATGCAAGTTTATGTCCATTTTATATGGTTGAGGTGCGTGAGTCTGTTACTCTTCTAGCAAGATGATCATTTGCATTTATGTGATTATGTCATCTAGTTGAAATGATGAACATACGTGAAAAAGTTGACTTTCTGACTATCAAAGCATGGATGTTGAACTTTCAATACGAGTACTAGAGAACCATTCGATCAATGTGTGTACCATGAGCATTGTAGTTTATACTCTTTCTATCCTTAAAATATTGCTCAATTTATGTGTCAAAAATAGATTTTACTATAATGATTGTTTCATATTATAATTGGTTATTTTTTCCTATTAAAATTTATGGGGAAAATATTTCTCTGTATTTTCTCATTGTATTTTCCCAATCATAATGTTCGGCCACATTATTTTATATATAGACAATAAGAATATTTAACCCTAATATTCCTTAAATATCTTAACTTCCTAAATTTATTCACAATATATCACATATATCTTTTCACAATACTATCTCATATGATATTATTCTCATAATATCATATTATGATATATAAGGTCCGACTTAGACAATAAAATAAAATCTGCATCATGTCATCATCAAGCTGCAATATGTAATCATCAAAAATCCGTCGGAAATCACAAAAAAAAAAAAACCTCTTGAACTTCATCATGCCACAATATTTCTCATCATCGAAATCTTCAAATTTCACCTTGATCAACATAGTCACAAAAAATTTGATTTCTCATAAAAAAAAATAATAATAAATTTGTGAACTCTCACAATCACTCTATATTGTACGCAATTAATGAATAATGCATACAATAGATTACTCCTCTTACACAACTCTCGTGTTTAAGCTTTTTTTTCTCTCCCTTGATGAGAACGTCATTTTTTTCAAATTCATCAAACAACAATTAAACAAGAACACCATTCTTTTCAAACCTACAAATATTTCAATACAACGAGAACGCCTTTCTTTTCGAACCTGTCATAATTTTTTTCACGATCTCCCATGTTTAAGGTTTTTCTCATCCCTCACACGAAGTCTCCTGTTTGCTCTTGATACCATGTTAAATTATGGGGAAAATATTTGTCTCTCTGTATTTTTTCCCATTCATAATATTGGACCACATTACAATATATATAGAGAATATCCAACCCTAATATTCCTAAATATTTTAACTTCTTAAATCTATTCAAAATATCTCACATACATCTTTTCATAATAATATCTCATATGATATTATTTTGATAATATCATATTACAATATATTATTCTCATAATATCATATTACAATATATATTCCTATCTCAATATTTCCAAACGTAACTCTACTTACATATAGTTGCGCTCTCTCTCTCTTTTCATAGATAAATGTATAAGCTTATTGTGCACAAATTGCATAATTTGCTTTGGTTCTTAGAAAAATAAAGATAGAGCTTTGGGACGATCTTTAAGTGTAGTTTATACAAGTACTCTTTATGAAAATGAGTTTTGTTAAGATATAAGACGTCGTGAAATTGTGAGATCAGATATCACGGATTGGTCCCTCCATCGTCTATTTCTTTCAAGATCATTCACTACTTAGAGTTGACAAGGATTTAATTTTGGAAAAATTGACGCTACCAATCCCAATAATGGACTTCCTTCTTTAAAAGATCTCAACTATCGATTAACTCATAACGATCTTAAATTTGGGGAGAATCTTCTTAAAACAGATCCTAACTTATTATGACTGTATAAGCTAGTTAAAATTTCACTTGTTGAATTTTTAGTGGTCTATCTGTTTTATTGAATAAACAGATCCTAACTTATTATGACCGTATAAACTAGTAAAATTACAAATACTTATATTAATACCATTAATTAAATCTTTAAGAGTAAGTTGAAAAATAAATAAGAGGTAGATGACGGCTTTTATACAATTTTGATATAAGGATTTTATATTTGGGCTTAAATGATAGATTCCGGTTTCGTGTACCCTATAGAGAATCTGTACTAACAGGGTACCCTACAGGTTTCGGGTCCAAAATTTTATTACCGGAACCTATTGCAACAGGTTCCCAATTTTATTACTTGGAACCGAAACCTGATCTACAGGTTCCAGTTCTGAAACCTGCGATTCCGAGCAGGTTTCGATTCCAGATCAGCGTACCCTGAATTTTTGCTCACCTCTAGTAATAAGTCATATAGCAATTGTGTATTTGTGTGTAGTGGAAACAACTCAGTAGAAAACAACGCAACCGCAACCGCTACAAGTATGTTTTTCCTAATTTTGCGTCTTGTTTGTTTCTCTGTCCTTTTATCACAATTATCCTTTTCGGCTTTTCCTAATAGGACTATAAGAGTATCCATTATTATTTATTATCACTATAAAAATAGAAGCAATATCTTAGCAAAAGAAAGTACTATTAAAAATTTTAATTAACGGGGGACTGCAGTGGCGGAGCCAGGATTTTCAACTTGGGGGGACAAAATGCTTAACTTACGAAAAGCTTAACAAAAAATAAAAACAAAAAAAAACTCACACACAAATTGGTTAATACTTAATATTAAAATTTCAAAATACAAATATATACTTAGTCATACAATTCAAAATGATGAAAAAAATTACATAAACATTACATTAAAATTACAAGTTCATTCTTCGAGTCTTCATACTTTGAAATCGATCAATAATCTTTTCGTCGGAAACTCGTAAGAAGACATCCTTCTCAATAAAAGTGACCAAACAATCATTCATAAGTTGATCACCCATGCTATTTCGCAACTTGTTTTTGACACATGTCATTGCAGAAAACACTCTTTCAACACTTGCCGTGGCAACGGGAAGAATCAACATCAACTTGATAAGCAAATGAATTGCCGTTGCCATAATGTTTATTCTTTTTCCCGGATCATGAGGAAGAAGTTCAACATCGTACACCGAATCTTCCTCTAATGGTACATTACTATTACTTGAACCACCCATTTCCATACTATTTTCTTGACTTTGAGGGGAGCTAAATGAAGGTGAGTTATTGGACTCATTTTCATTGGACTCATTTTCATTGAGTTTCGTTCTTTTAAACAAGAATTGTCGAAGATCGGGTTGTTTAGTTGCCTTTGATTTGTTTGAATTTGGTGAATCGTTTGACATTTCCTAATTAAATCGAAAATTATATATCAATTTCCACAAGACCACAATCCACATCATTACATAATAACAAAACCTAAGAGGCTAAGATTTTAAATTTCTAATTCAACTACACATTTCAATAATTTACAATAATTAATAATTTAAATTCACATTTCACAAAAACAACCAAAAACTCTAACAGGGGAAACAATCAAACAAATATAAATCAATAATCATTTATCAATTCAAATTATTCAATAATCAATACCCACAAGGCCACAAATGACAAATTCACAATAAAAATATAAACAATTAAACAATTAAACATTTAAACAAGTAATAAAAATATGAAATTCAGAATTTCAGATTTACTGTAAATTTAAACAATTAAACATTTAAACAACAAAACAAGTAATCAATTATTCAATTAATCATACATTCATACCTCCATTGAAATCCAGATTTACAGCAAATGTGTTATGCTTATGCATATGACGAAGTCACGAAGACACGAAGTCACGAAGGACGAAGGCTCAAGGGCGGCTGTTGAACCTCGTCACTGCTGCGAACTGCCGGCGAACGGTGGACGGCGTCACGGCGAGCCGGCTAGGCGACAGGCGAGGGCGAATCGAAGAGAGAGAAATTGAAAATTGAAAAACTTAGGGTTTGGCTGGCAAATGTCGCAACAGAGCACTGTAATTGCATTTTTTTTTTTTTTAATTTTTTTTTTTTGAAAATGGGGGGACAAGTGTCCCCACATGTCCCCTTCTAGCTCCGCCCATGGGGGACTGAATCTTTTTGCGTTCAAGGCTATGATAAGATTAACTTTTTTGCTGAATTTTTTTCTGACGTTATGCATGAAGCATGATTCTTGAAAATTCTCTGATTAAATCCTTTTGAATTGTTGAAGATTTGTTTGAATATTTGTGTATTATTAAATCATCTCAGTTAAGTGTTTAATATTGTTGTGAAACTTATGATTTTATTATATTTAGTTAAAGTTTTACTTTGCTGGTTAAGGTGTTATAATTGATTTAGAAAATTCAAATTTCGTGGGAAGGTTTGGAAGTGTTTTAATTTTATGGTGTAGTTTTGTTTTCGTGGTTGACACGCCGCAAGAATTATATGTTTTGAAAGGCGATAATTACTGGTACGTATCGATATGACAATTAACAAAATTTATGGTTATGCATTGGATTAAACTTTATTGCCATGTATTTCAAATACCATGGTTTCTTTGCTTATATTCGTTTCAACTTATTAGCAGGTGACGTATCACTGTCTTGAACGTTATTATTGTTAAGTTCTATATAAAGTCGTTCACCTCTAATATGGAGTAATTATTATCGTCAATCTAACGGGTAGTTAATGTAAACAATTACTTCGATAAAAAAATGATACTTTGATAGGAAACTCTGATAGGAAACTTTTGATCAATTTACGTGGTCAAAATAAAACATACTTGTATTATATTATTTTAGGTCAGAAACAATTATTATTGATAGGGCTTGTCTCTGCTCTTGAGATATTACGTTTTGACCCTTATTTATGCTTCATACATAAATTAATATATAATCAATTAATACTTGTTAGAATCGTCTCTATATTCTATATCTATTGATAAATAAAAATATTATTAGTCAAAGTCGTGAATTGACAAGTGTGTCAATTAAATAGGATACTTAAATAAAAATAGAGGGGTACTAGCAAGTGGCAAATAATAACATTTGGAGCTTAAAAATAATATTATAGCGGGCTTTGAGCCCACTGGGCTAATATCTATTTATGGCTAATTTATACTCTTTTTGGGCTCATTTAATTAAGGCAATGAGCAACCAAACAAATATCAACACTAGCTAGTAGAAAACTGAGATTTTTTAGTTGTGTATACTTGTGTGTGATTGTCGAAGACTAATTGAAGTGATGGTATGTCATAGAATTTCTGTCATCTTTTAATTGATGGAATGATATTTTGTGTTGCAAACTTTTCATTGGATAAAAATTATTTTCACACTTGAAATTTTGAATTCAACACTCCACTTTGTAACATGTGCAATATACAAAACAATGCTCTTATAAAAGAGTGTCGAAATTAATTTTTAATTAAGAGAGGGAAATTAATTTTCGCTTTATTGGAAGATCGGTAACCAACCCTTCCATAGTACTATCCCAATTGAATTAAAATCAATTTGGGCTTTTGAATGATTAAACATTTAAACCCAATTTCCCCTAGTGTAAATTGTAAAACAATTCTGATTCAAAGCTGCTATGAATAATAATGCGATGTGGATAATCAATTAGCTTTTATTTTTATGATGGGGAGATAATCAACTAGCCTAATTGATTAAAACTAGCTTATTTAGTTAAAATCCAATCTTCGTTAATTGCAAATAAGAATTATACTTAGATACAAACTCTTATGTCTTCATTATTAAATTAGGAAATTATCTATTTATCAAAAGCCTATATATATACACCTTATAGTGCTCATATGTTTCGTTGTTTCAATACACAGCTACTCTTTCAAAGATCAGCTACTTCAATTCTCTTGCTCATCTCTTGACTACGATAATTTTGTTTTAGAGGTAAGGGGTACTACTCAAGACGTGGGATCAAAAGGTAATTCTAGTGTAGTCTTATGACTTTTGACTACCACAATTTTTTAAAATGGACAGTTGAGATTATTTGTTTTATTTATTTCTTTTTAATTAGTAATTTTGATTAAAAATAAATATTGAATTATTTTAAATACATTTTTATCTTTCAGAAATTATTTTTTTAACATTTTCGAAATTCTAGAAATAAAAAATATATATATTAGAATTACTAATTAAAGCTAAATAAAAAAACAAACAATTTCAGCAATCCATTTTAAAAAAAATTGTGGTCATAAGACTACATTAGAATTTTCATGAGATCAAACCCTATCTATACTATCTGCGCTTTCTTTACACCAAAAAAACTGCAATAATTTTATTTTCGGTAGTGATGGAAGAAAATTGGAATATACTATAAAAAGGAAATAGAAAAAGAAATAGCAATAATAAAAAGATTAAAAACGACTTGTACTTTCTTTAATTTACCCTTATTTGACTTGCTTTGCAAAAGTATAATTAAATATTAAATATGTATTTATATCACAAAAGAAACTTGATTACCGTCGTCTTACGGCGATATACTTATTATGATAAGATTATAAGATTATATCTTTGCCCATAAAGTAGAAAATATCTTTATTATGGTTTTAGAAAACTGGCCCACAAAAACGTGGTGCACTGGTGTATAATGAAATGCCATTATGTTTTTTTTGTGATAATTTGCCAAGGATATAAACAATAAAAGCTGTGGCTCTTAGGCTAAAAATAATTTTACATCCAAACACGACAAATTAATTGAAGGTCTTGTGTTTCTTAGGTACGCCTATACTATTTCACTAATTTGTACTCTCGTCTCTAATGTTCTTGTTTTGACATTCAAAACAAGAATATTTAGAGACAATAAGAGTACTTTGTATAATATTTTGTGTATGTTTGAACTACTTTGCTTAGATTTCAAATGAGTGGTGCATGATTTTTTACTTGTTAACATCTATTCATATTGTTTTTTGATAAATGATGAAAAAAATTTCATGTAAATACAAAGTATATACAGTATTATTATTCGTGACGCATCTTGGTTAATATTGCTGTCAAAGATGTTGGAAATTTGGCATACTCATCTTGGTTTGTAGTGAGATACTGAGATGTGATAACTTTTCATTTTTAGGAAAAGTTTTCCTCAATTTTCTTGTCAAGGTTGAGTCACTTGAGTGTCTTCATTTGGGTTTGCAAAGGCCTAAAATAATTGTTGAAAGTTGAAAATAGTTTTCTAAATGATGGAAGAAGTTTTCCATTTTGAGAAAATTAATGAATGTTACATTTTTCTCTATTTTTCCTCAATCCTGCCAACCTTCCCTTTATTTTAATTTTTTTTTTCCGTTATTGTCTAACTTTTCTGGTGAGTTATTGTGTGTCCAAATGTTATTGTGTGAGTTGAACATACCCTTATTGGCGTAAAGATGAGCTTATTATTAAATGTTGTAACAAAAATAGCAGATTTAAAGGCTTAGGAAGAGATAAAGTTGGAGAAAACATGGAAATGGAAACTCCAACAATGAGTCCAAAGATGAAGAAATATTTGTTGATAGTAAATTGCATAATGTTAGCAATAGGAATAAGCGGCGGTCCACTAATCATGAGGTTGTATTACCTACATGGTGGTAAGAGTATTTGGCTTTCATCTTGGTTAGAAACTGGAGGATGGCCTATGATGATTGTTCCTCTCCTCGTTGCTTATTTTCGACGCCAAGTGGCTCATCCTACGCAAGCCAAGCTCCTCTTCATCAAGCCTAGTACCTTTTGTTTTGCTGCTGTTGTTGGTAAGTTTTCCAAAAATTAAAAGAAATGGGACGAGTAAATTGAGGAACCCTTTAATAAGTAGGAAAATTAGACAAGTAAACTGAGAAGAAGTTAGAAATAATAATTAAATTCGATTCTGTATTAATTAATTTTTGTTTAATCCTTTATTCCAGAGAAAGATACGCTAGACAAAACTTGTTTTCTTTGTTCATATGCGCACTCTACTACTCTAGATGACATGATTTAATTTATCATTCAAAGGCATAGTTAACTTGATTTGCCATAATTATTTTGAATGTGCATAATCTTTTTAACCAGCTTTACATCCACGTAACAGGACTAATAGCAGGGTCAGCAGACTACTTGTATGCATATGGAGTAAAACACATACCAGTCTCAACATCATCTTTAATCTTAGCAACCCAACTAGCCTTCACAGCAGTATTTGCCTTCTTATTAGTCAGGCAGAAATTCACAGCATGTTCAATAAACGCGGTTGCTCTTCTAACCTTCGCAGCCATAGTCTTAGCCCTTCATGCTAGCGCTGATAAACCAACGGGTGAATCAAGTGCTCAGTATTACTTAGGGTTCTTCTTTACCCTAGCTTCATCTGCCTTATTCGCTCTTATGCTTCCTATGATTGAGCTCACTTATAAAAGAGCTAAACAAACTGTTACCTATTCTTTGGTGATGGAGATTCAGCTTGTGTTGTCATTCTTTGCTACCGCTATGTGCACTATTGGGATGCTTGCTAGCGGCGATTACAAGGTAATGTATCATCTTTTTTTTTATTTTTTATTATTATATATTATCTGACCACTTAACGAACTTTTATACTTTTGTGTATTGTATAGTTGGTTTAAAAGTTGTCCTTTATATTATGCAGGGTTATGTAAGCGAAATGCACGAGTACAAACTTGGGGTTGCCATGTACTTTGTTGTGCTAGTATGTAGTGCAATTATATGGCAATTCTTCTACCTAGGGGCGGCCGGGGTCATATACTATGGCTCCTCTTTGTTGTCCGGAGTAATCATAGCGGTTGCACTTCCGATCACGGAGATAGCCGCTGTGTTTTTCTACCACGAAAAGTTTCAGGTAGAAAAGGGGCTATCTCTTGCTCTTTCACTTTGGGGATTTATTTCTTACTTTTATGGTGAGGCTAAGGATGTCAAGAAACAAAAAAAGAGAGAAAGAAACAATTTAGAATCTAGAAATGCAGATATAGAATCATAAAATAGGATGTTAATCATGTTATAGAATATTGTTTTAATTAAAGTACCTAGTGTGTGAATTCTACTTGTTAGAATTAGATAACCTGGATTTCAGTTGGCTCACATCAAGGAATAAGCAAGGTTTTTCCTTAGATGAGAGTTGCATATCAGCATATGATTTCAATTTTGTAATCCTTTTGATTGTGTAATATCCTCTCAAATCATGATTTTTTAAAAGTTGATTAGAGTTTATAATTTAATTTATGATCAGATCATATGAGGATTTTTTATCTGGTTTAATAATGTATATGGATTGAAAATTCCATTTTAGAAAAAAAAAGGAAGTAGAAAAAAAACAACCATAAACATCCTAGCTAATGAATAGAAATGTAATTAGGAGAATAAATACAAAAATAACACCTCTGCAACTAGGGCCTTGTTTTGTTCAACTTGTTTTTACTTATTTCAGAAAAGATAGGTTCAGATCAGATTAGAAAAAAAAATAAGTTTAGATTAGCTCGTATCAGAAAAAATAAGTTTAGATCAGATTATCGTTTTATGTGCAGTTTTTTTATCGCTAATTATCTTTAATTTCGTAATGAAAAAATTTATGAAAATTACACATTATTAGGAATCTAACAAGATCCCACTTGATATATTTTTTCCTTATACATTATTTTACACTTAAGGTCAAAGTTTGGTCAAATCTGACAATCAGGTCAGACCAGATCAAATATGTTCAGATAAGTTTAAATAAGGTGAACTAACAAGCCCTAAATATTCAAGTGGTATCCAAAATATATGATATTAATTAAAATAAATAATTTTTAATTTATTGCGCATTCTGTAGTGTTAGTGTTAACTATGAATTCTTTTGACAAGGAAATAATTGAAAATTAAAAACGAACTTATCATACTTTTAAGGGCTTGTTTAATTCACCTTATTTTTACTTATCTGATCTGGTCTGATATGGTTTGATCTGATTGTCTGATTTGACCAAATTTTGACCTTAAATATACGATAATCTATAAGGTAAAAATACATCAAGTGCGGTCTTGTTAGATTCGTAATATTGTGTATTTTATTAGTATATAATTTTCATAATTTTTTTCATTACGAAATTAAAGATATTTAGCGATAAAAAAACTGTACATAAAACAATGGTCTGATCTGAATTTATTTTTTCTGATCTGATTTGAACTTATTTTTTCTGAAATAAGTAAAAATAAGTTCAACTAAACAAGGCCTAATTTTTTTTTTAGAGGACGTACTTACCATGCTTTCTATAAATTAAACCAGCTTTAAAATTTAAGAAAATAAATTATAACCATAAATATACAAATAAATAAACCACAATAATGAACATTTCTTTTTAGGTACTCTTTATTATATTTATGTGCAAGGATGGCTACCAAAACTCTAAAAAAGCTGTTTTCTTGCAAGAAAACAATTTATATTATTTATTTTCTCCAACATTCAACAAACTTTGATGCCATATTTCAATTTTACATAATTACAATTTTAAATGACCAAAATAATTGGAATTGAATTTTGCGTACAAATTGATAAACATAACATGATCAAATGAAATTCAACCAAATAATCACAACTCAAGCATACAAACAACAGAAATTATCAACAAAAAAAATTAAAGTAAAAGATGGGATCATTATTCACTCATTCAGGAAGTTTCCTCTTGCTTATTTAGTAGCTGCAATAACAATATTGTTGGCGGGAGCTAAAAACAGTATGTACCACCATAGTAGTAACATCCTTCGGCCGCGCATCCACTAGCAGCACCACCGCCACCGGAACCGATGGAGGTGGTTTATTCAGTTGCAGCAGCTGGAGGCACTTGTGTAGGCTTCTTCAATTTCTTAGCTACACAACATAGGCAAATGGATAATAACGCAAGGAAGAAGAAACCGCCTAAAGATGCACCCACTATTATTGCTGTGTTGTTATGAGTATGTTGCCCTGGGGGTGAGGTGGGAGGGGGTTTTACGATGTCACTAGGTGGTGGTGAAGAATAGATTGCGGGCGTTGGTGGAACTCCACCGCCGCCGCTAGGCCCTCCGCCTTGTGGTTGAGGTGGGGATACTAGAGGAACAACCACACCATGTGGTGGTGGTGGTGGTGTTGATGGTGGTAATGATGTTGGCGGGGGAATTCCATGATTTTGTGGTGGTGAGGCTGAGGGCAAGGGTGGTGATGGTTGTTGGGGTGATAGTGAGGGTGGTGATGTGCCATGATCAGGTGGTGATGGTTGTGGGGGTGATAATGATGGTGGTGATGCACCATGCGGAGATGGTTGTGGGGGTGATCGTGATGGTGGTGGGCCAAGTGGAGATGGTTGTGGGGGTGACAATGAGGGTGGAGATGGGGGCCATAATGAGGGCGGTGATGGGCTGTGTGGATATGGGGGAAATGGCGAAGGTGGTGGTGATACTGGTGGTACTCCAGTTATAGGTGGCCATGATGGTGGAGATGATTTGTGATGTCCCGAATGTGGGGGACTACATGAAGGAGGAGGTGAAGTGTGTATGTAATGATTCGGTGGTGGTGGTGAGACATAGGTGTAATAGGATGGTGGTGGTGGCGTAGATGGGGTAGAGGAAAACTCATTTAAATAGCGCATATTTTAGAAAACAAATAAATTAAACGATGATAGACTTGAAAAGGTTTGTGAGTTGTGACATGAATTTGTGTATGACTACATAGAGTAAGTGAAGTTATGTTTGATGCCTTGTAAGAGAGAGCGCTTAAGGATCGGAACGCGATCCATTAGACATAAATACACATATGATTTTGGCTTTTTCGTTATTTATATATATTTTCTCTGTTTCACAATATTGTAATAATTGGACTTTTTTTTGGAAACAATTGAACTTTTGCACTATTCACCTAGCCGTCGTAAACCCGCCGAAAACCCCACCCAGCCGCCGAAAACCACTGACAACTCTATCCCAACCTCCCTAACCAGCTCCGAAAAATCCCACCCAATCTCCCTAACCACCCCAAATATCCCCACCCTAACCCCGAAAACCCCCCTTAAACACCCTAAAAACACATCCTTGGTTTCGGCTGGCCATTTTCGGAGGTTAAGTAGGGCGGCCAACCGGTTTTTGGTGGTGGCTAGGGTAGGGGCTAGGGTTTCATGGTGGGGGTTGGTGGCTGTTTTTTTTTTTTATAAATTTTGTTTTCTGTATATATTTTTGCCTTTTTTATTAAAAAAATGAAATAAACCTATTACATATTGACACATGGCATATAACCTACAAAAATCGGTCACTAATAAGTCAGGGTCTATTAAAAGAAGATGACATGCAAAGGTGGGATTATTATTATCAGACCACGCAAAGGTGAGATTGTTTATTTTCATTTTTCCTTTAAAATATTATTACTCCTGTATTAGACAAGTAACTAACTATATAAGATTCCTTATCAACAACCTATTGCAATAGAAAAGTTATTAAAATATAATTACAAATAGTTAATTTGGAGCTGTCCCATTTAGAAATAATTTTTCTACAACCATGTTGTACTATGTTGTTGCTAGTGGTTGTGGATACGTCCATGTTAGAAGTCTTGTAATCATTATTGATTGTTTGTTGAAAGTAATAATTCGTGTGATATTGGTCTTAGGACTCTTAGATTACAGGGCATGGTTAATTTCCATATTAGTTATGGAGCTTAATTTTAGTGATGTATGTATAGTACTATAGTAGTACTAAAATTGGACCTTGAAGTAGTATGTGATTATTTGAGGAATTGAGGATGACTAGTAATGAGAGTATGATACGTACATTAGATTATTTTGTTGCAATCTTACAAATGTTTTTCGGATAATTCTATAGAAATGACTACCATTATACTAATTCTTCCCTACTTTTTTTTCTCTCTCTCTAAAAATTGAGAGCATCTCTCACTAGAAAGTGAGTTCTTCCTAGTTTACTAGGGTTCGTTAGGATTCTTTAAAATCTTCAAGGCTTGTCTATCTGCATGCTTTAGATTTCCTTCATATCTCTGCAACAATTTAGATGAGTAGGGTTCATGCATAGCTCCTTCTAGGTGGGAAGGGATATCAATCGTTTTTCTTTGTCTATGGATTACCTCCTTACTTTTTAGCCACTCAAGAAAACCAATTTCTTGGTTTGGTGAAACTCCTCATCTCCAGTAAAAGGGATAAACCTTTTAACAGCTTTTGCGCCACCTTGTTGGGTTTCTCACCCAATACAATTCAAGCAGTTACTTCTCTCCCTCTACTGGTGCAGTGGGCTTATAAGTAGAGTCGGCTATTTATGTTTGAGCACTAATTTCGCCAATCCTTGCTCCCCATGCTTGATTTGGTTCCAATTCTCAAAAAATTGAGTTCGGCTATTAATGTGGTAGAAGTTTCAGGTTTCAAACTCAACTTCTCACATTCCTTTCTTCTGTCTTTTTTCTCTTCTTTCCTTATTCAAGTTTCAGTCCTTTTCTCCTCTTATTTTAGTCTGTCACACTCTTAAATCATCCTTTTCTCCTTAAACTCTCCTCTTTCCTTATTCTTTCTATCGAAATTATGAACAACAATAATAACTCAGACAATGCTCATAACGAGCAGTAAAACCTGGATCTGAGAGGGGGCCCTCTTATACCCCCTCCACCAGATTTTGATTTGGAAAATAGTAGTATAAACTTCAATGCTTGTGTTATAGGAATCTTTATTGGTCACCACCCTCCATCCGAACCATTCGTGCAACATATTATTAACTCGAGATGGATAATGAGGGGGGAAATAAGGGTTCACAGATCTGGCCCTTATTTTCTATTTGAATACAGTGATACTCAGGATCAAGAGAATCTAATTCTTGTAAACACTGCTATCTTTGACGGCAGGATTATCAACTTTAGAAGGTACCAAAGAAACTTAGCGCCCCACCAGATGAGCTTTACTCTCACAAAAATAAGGGTAAGCATCTAGGGGCTCCCATTGGCCTACCTTACTTTAGGTTGGGCTAGACAGATCCTTCGCCATGTGGGGTATATTGAGGAACTCGACCATGAAGGAAGCAACTTGCCGCTACAAGCAGAGTTGAGAGCTCGTATGCTTGTAGATCTCTCTATACCTCTAATTTCAGGGTGTTTTATACCATTGGAAGGCAATCGAGTAATTTGGGTATACTTGAGATATGAAGAGGTTTATAGATTCTGTAAATCATGTGGGTGTGTAGGGCATGCAACGTCTCAATGCTCTCTCCACGCCATTGTTGCCAGGAGAAAGGGTAAGACGTTGTAGGGAATATTTCAACACTCAACTTTGACCCCACTGTGATCATGCACTTAAACATGGTGGCGTCCAAGGGAAAGAAGCTAGAGCAAAAGAGTCGCCAACAAGTTTTAGGAACTTGTAAACCATCCACAGGTGTGAAAGTTACACCCCATTCACGATCACAGAGATCGCTAACTCCATAGTGGTCCGGAACCATGATTGGATATTCGGGGATGATGGTATGAATCCAACCTAAAAGAGATTGAACCCGCCCTAAATAGGCCTCTACTTTTTTCTTATCATATTCATGTGCGCTTTCCAATTAACATACAATCAATGAATTGTCCCTAAACATATTTAATCTATGTAGGTTGATTATTAATGCACAAATAAATCTATTATTGGCGATCACTTGAATTAAAATCATACTAAACCTAAAGCAAATTATTAATTATCTTATTAGGAGTGATTTCAAGTACAAATTCCCTTTAAACCTGCAAGAAAGGCGTGATCAAACAATAACAATCAAGAATAATCAAGCAATGTAATAATTAATGACACAACAATCATCATAATAAAGCAATATCTCCAAAATAATATTAGCAAGATCCTAGACATGATACTAAATGAATTAATAACAAATCTTAGCATGTCACGAAATAATAAAGATTAAAACTTTATCCTAAACATGATATTAGAAATATTAATTAAGCATCCTAACATGATACTAGAAATCATAACGACATCCTAACATGATACTAGGAATTTAAATAATATTCTAAGCATAATTTCTATATCAAAGGAATAAGGTGTTTGGGGTAAAATTACCCATGTCACGTGGCCCAATAGCAAGCTGACACGTGTCATCCCCATAGAGGCCTAATGGGATGTTGACACGTGGCAGAGTAACCCTAATAGGGGAACAAATCTTCTTCTACTATAAATAGAGGAAATTCTTCATTTATTACACATTTATGCACAGTCATAAGTACAAAACACAAATACCGAGCAATATTAATTGCAGAATCTCCCGAAATCCGAGAGACTATTTACTTTCTGCATCCTTACTCACTCAGACATATTCTAACTTGATTGTCGGAGGCGGAACTCCAACCAACCGGAGTCTCCGTGCTTTTGCAGGTACAGGCGATCGGCTACCAGTTCTGGTGTTGTAACTCTCCCATAGGACACATCAAAAAAACCCCGAAATATAAGGATAGTAGATCTACTCACTTTGATGTCTCGTACCTCTTTCTATTAAAACAACACACACGTTAGTAACTTCAATAAAGATGAAATCAAATAAATAAATCAAATAATAATTGAAATAAGGATTTGGGATCAAACCCTCAGAAATATCAACCTTTCACGTCGAGGGCGAAGGCAATTTCGAGCTTGGCTTGATGTATTAGGGTCTCGCAAAGGACGTATGGTGTGTGTTTGTAAAAAAGGGTTTAGAAAGAGATTTAAAAAATCAAGAGGGAGAAAGAAAGAATAAGCTTTAGGTCAGAGAGAGAGAGAGATGATGATTGTTGGTGAATGAAAACGGATGAAATTGGCCCTATTTATATAGAAAAACGACCGACAGATCAGAAAACGAGTTAGAATTCCATCTGAAATAAAACAGGATTCATAGCGACGCTACAAATTTATCGTGATGCAATGACTTCATTTCGTCGCGATAAATCCATCGCTGCGCGACGGATCTGACGCGATGCAATAATTTCTGTACGATAAGATTTCGTACGGAATCCAACATCCAATCAAATTGAGCTAGTTGAATATCCGTACTTATCCTTATTAAATCAGATTTAAATCTTTTAAAAACACTTATTTATCCGATGTAGAATTTTTAATCATTATCTTTTCAAAATAGGATAAATTGGAACCTTCTAGAAGATAATAATCAATCCTAATGCCTTTAGAACTTAAAGCAACTTTCTAGAAAATTCTAGAAGCTTAAGATAAATCCTAATGGTTTTAAAAATACAATTAATATTAATGGACCCTCCATATGATCATTGGGTCCGCATATAAAGCTCATTTGGGCCCAGTTTAGTATTTTGGCCATAACTTCCTCTTTCTAACTCGGAATTGGGCTTATAATATATCGTTGGAAAGTTATTTTCAAGCCCCATCCAACTACACAATTATTGGACCCAAATTATGGACCAAAATCAACTGGATTGGTTGTTTTTCATAAACAGGACATGAAATGAATGATTTAAACATTTTTCGAAAAAGGGAAATTCACGAGACTCTTCAACATTTCACCTTGCTCGATAACCAATGACGTGAAAGGTACTCATTATTGTATTTGGTTTTTGGGGAGACACAATCAGGTGTCTACAGGCGCCGTCTTGATGAAGTAGAGGCGGACGGAGTAAGGGTATTGTACGGTCCGGCGAAATACCCCTTTTACTCTAACTTTATCCATGGATTGTTGGACTGGTATAGATTCAGGAATACTGGGGTTGATTTGAGGCATCATGAAGCGCTGGAAGACCCGCCTTTCTATAGGCGAGTGCTAAGGGAAGACCTGGTGTTTGATGAAGGGAATCCTGATGAGCAGCCCCTATCTTCTCCGGAGAGTGATAATAGCGAAAGGTTCCATACGGGAGAAGAGGAGCTTTCGAATGATGATTCAGAGCTAGTAGACATGGATGGAGAACCAATGATGTCGGATCTTGCGCTCTCACCTGGAAGAAGGTTGGGGTTAGGTGGGAATCCATATTTGGAGTTTATCCAAGGAGGGCATATGAGCCCTAATCTTGGT